CCTCTGCTCTCAGTTGCATAAAGAGCTAAGAGACCTGGAGGAAGAGAAACAGAAGTACACTGAGCTTCTCAGTAAATGGCTGTGGAGGGGAAAAGAGGGTTTCAGCACAAGTCTAATCACTGGAGGACAGCCAGAAAACTGACCACGCTGGGATGGATGTGCTTTCATGCCTTTCGCTGACAGCGGGGGAGGAGGGGGTTATACACAAATCCTTAGACCTATTGTCAGACCCTACACTGGTGCGGTGGGTCCTGGGTTCCTCCTGGTGCAGGGGGTCCTGGGTTCCTCCTGGTGCAGTGGGTCCTGGGTTCCTCCTGGTGCGGTGGGTCCTGGGTTCCTCCTGGTGCGGTGGGTCCTGGGTTCCTCCTGGTGCAGTGGGTCCTGGGTTCCTCCTGGTGCGGTGGGTCCTGGGTTCCTCCTGGTGCGGTGGGTCCTGGGTTCCTCCTGGTGCGGTGGGTCTTGGGTTCCTCCTGGTGCAGTGGGTCCTGGGTTCCTCCTGGTGCGGTGGGTCCTGGGTACCTCCTGGTGCGGTGGGTCCTGGGTTCCTCCTGGTGCAGTGGGTCCTGGGTTCCTCCTGGTGCGGTGGGTCCTGGGTTCCTCCTGGTGCAGGACAATGCCCGGCCTCACGTGGGGAGAGTATGCAGGCAGTTCCTGGAGGATGAAGGAATTGATACCATTGAATGGCCCCCACGCTCACCTGACCTAAATCCAATAGAACCCCTCTGGGATGTCATGTTTCAGTCCATCCGACGCCGCCAGGTTGCACCTCAGACTGTCTAGGAGCTCAGTGGTGACCTGGTCCAGATCTGGGAGGAAATCCCCCAGGACACCATCCGTGGTCTCATTAGGAGCCTCCCCTGACATGGTCAGGCATGCATACAAGCACGTGGGGGCCACACAGACTACTGAGGGCCATTCTGAGTTGCTGCAATGAAATGTCAGCAAAATGGACTCGCCTGCTGCATCATTTCTTCACTTTGATTTTCGGGGTGTCTTTGAATTCAGTCCTCTGTAGGTCGATCATTTCCATCCAACGATGGGGTGTCCTTACGTTCCTCACCCATCCCCCGTCCATGTCAGTATAGAGATCCAGCAGGAGATTCCTCCCCATTGAGATCTGATGGGTTTTCAAGGCATTCCTTTCTTTTTTTGCATTTTTGGGTTGAATGCGGCTTTTATACAGAAATGTTCCAGCAGATTTCAGATTCAGAGACATTTATTTATAATGTTTTTAGCCTATTTATGACCCCCCCCCCCCCCCCCCCCCATATCACAATTCCATGACTATCTCTATTATATCATCCCCTCCCTTGGCTCCCACAGTCATCCCATCCCCCATTCCCGGCTCTCCGCTCCCATCGGGGGAATTCGGGGCGTTCTGTTGATCTAAACATTCCTCGCTTGTGAACTATCTTCTTCCTCGGATGGACTTCAGTGTCCTCGTCCAATCCCAGAGCCACGCCATGGCGGTACATGTGGCCGATCAGACTCAGGGATCACATGACCGTTCCAGCCAATAGAAGGCGGCGTTGTGCCCTGAGGATGAAAATAGAATCGTCCGCCCCGTGCTCCCCATCTGCGCCGACCTCCCGTGATCCGGGGAATAAAGTGGGGCTCCGATTCTACCAACAATGACAACACCCCGAAAAAGAATGATTTCTGCTGCACATTCTATTCTATGGAACTTACATTTGATTCTTTTTAACAGTTGAAGTGCGTGTGACCCTGTGACCCCTGACCCTGTGACCCCTGACCCTGTGATCAGCTGCATAAGGAGCTCAGAGAGTTTGGAGAGGAGAAACAGCAGGACACTGATCTTCTCAGTAAATGGCTGTGGAGGGGTAAGAGGGGGGTGTCAGCACAAGACAGAGGGTCAGACACCCCCCTACAGCCATACAAAGCAGTGTACTGACAGTGAAGTGCACACAGTTAACCCTGTAATCGCCCCCCCACATGTTAACCCCTTCCTGTCCAGTGCCATTAGTACAGTGTCAGTGCTTTTTATTAGCACTCATTGGTGTCACTGGGGATGTCAGTGACACCCAGTCCCCCCCACCCATGTCAGAATGCCTGCCACAGTCCTGTTATAAGTCGCTGATTGCATAGTTGCCAACCGTCACAGGTTGCCCGGGACGGTCCTGGATTTTAGAGCCCTGTCATGGCTGGTCTTTGCCCAGAAAATAGGAAATATTCCCGGATTGAGTGTTCCCTGTCCTGGGTGGCCGGCGCCACAATTCTTGTGCTTCTGAACAGAGAGACGAGAGGACAGATCACTCTTCCCTCTCCCTTCTCCCCCAGCGGCTCTGTCCAGCCACTCTGATTGAGGGCTCCCTGTGAGACTTGGCAGCGTGGGAGGGGGTGTGCGCCGTGTCCACAGTCTCTGTCTGTCCATCCCATGTTCCGCGTCCGCAGTCTCTGTCCATCCCATGTTCCGCGTCCGCAGTCTCTGTCCATCCCATGTGCCGCGTCCGCAGTCTCTGTCCATCCCATGTGCCGCGTCCGCAGTCTCTGTCCATCCCATGTGCCGCGTCCGCAGTCTCTGTGCATCCCATGTGCCGCGTCCGCAGTCTCTGTCCATCCCATGTGCCGCGTCCGCAGTCTCTGTCCATCCCATGTGCCGCGTCCGCAGTCTCTGTCCATCCCATGTGCCGCGTCCGCAGTCTCTGTCCATCCCATGTGCCGCGTCCGCAGTCTCTGTCCATCCCATGTGCCGCGTCCGCAGTCTCTGTCCATCCCATGTGCCGCGTCCGCAGTCTCTGTCCATCCCATGTGCCGCGTCCGCAGTCTCTGTCCATCCCATGTGCCGTGTCCGCAGTCTCTGTCCATTTCAATTTGCCGTGTCCGCAGTCTCTGTCCATTTCAATTTGCCGTGTCCGCAGTCTCTGTCCATCCCATGTGCCGTGTCCGCAGTCTCTGTCCATCCCATGTGTCGTGTCCGCAGTCTCTGTCCATTTCAATTTGCCATGTCCGCAGTCTCTGTCCATCCCATGTGCCGCGTCCGCAGTCTCTGTCCATCCCATGTGCCGCGTCCGCAGTCTCTGTCCATCCCATGTGCCACGTCCGCAGTCTCTGTCCATCCCATGTGCCGTGTCCGCAGTCTCTGTCCATTTCAATTTGCCGTGTCCGCAGTCTCTGTCCATCCCTTGTGCCGTGTCCGCAGTCCTGTCCATCCCATGTGCCGTGTCCACAGTCCTGTCCATCCCATGTGCCATGTCTGCAGTCTCTGTCCATCCCATGTGCCGTGTCCGCAGTCCTGTCCATCCCACGTGCCGTGTCCGCAGTCCTGTCCATCCCTTATGCCGTGCCTGCAGTCTCTTTCCATCCTTTGTGTGCCGCGTCTGCAGTCTCTTTCATCCTTTGTGCCGCGTCTGCAGTCTCTGTCCATCCCTTGTGCCGTGCCTGCAGTCTCTGTCCATCCCTTGCGCCGCGTCTGCAGTCTCTGTCCATCCCTTGTGCCATGTCTGCAGTCTCTGTCCATCCCATGTGCCGTGTCCGCAGTCCTGTCCATCCCACGTGCCGTGTCCGCAGTCCTGTCCATCCCTTATGCCGTGCCTGCAGTCTCTTTCCATCCTTTGTGCCGCGTCTGCAGTCTCTTTCCATCCTTTGTGCCCTCTGTCCATCCCTTGTGCCGTGCCTGCAGTCTCTGTCCATCCCTTGCGCCGCGTCTGCAGTCTCTGTCCATCCCTTGTGCCATGTCTGCAGTCTCTGTCCATCCCATGTGCCGTGTCCGCAGTCCTGTCCATCCCACGTGCCGTGTCCGCAGTCCTGTCCATCCCTTATGCCGTGCCTGCAGTCTCTTTCCATCCTTTGTGCCGCGTCTGCAGTCTCTTTCCATCCTTTGTGCCGCGTCTGCAGTCTCTGTCCATCCCTTGTGCCGTGCCTGCAGTCTCTGTCCATCCCTTGCGCCGCGTCTGCAGTCTCTGTCCATCCCTTGTGCCATGTCTGCAGTCTCTGTCCATCCCTTGCGCCGTGTCCGCAGTCTCTGTCCATCCCAAAAAAAAAACAGCCCCCCCAAAACAACAAAAAAAACAAAACCCCAACAACAAAATAAAAACAAAACAAAAAACAACACCTCCCCCCCAAAAAAAACCAAAGAAACAAAAAACACACAACAGCCCCCTCCAAAAAAAACAAAACAAAATAAAAACAAAAGAAAAAAAAAACAACACCTCCCCCCAAAAAAACACAACAGCAACAAAATAAAAACAAAACAAATGAAAAAAAAACAACAACCCCCCAAAAAAAAAAACAACAAAATAAAAAAAAAAAATAAAAACAGCCACCTCCAAAAAAAACAACAAAATAAAAACAAAACAAAAGACAAAAAAAACACCTCCCCCCCCCCTCAAAAAAACAAAATAAAAACAAAAACAACAGCTCCTCCAAAAAAACAACAAAATAAAAACAAAACAAAGGAAAAAAAAACAACACCTCCCCAAAGAACAAACAAAAAAAAAAACAACAGCCCACAAAAAAAAAACAAAATAAAAACAAAAAAAAACAACACCCCCCAAACCAAAAAAAAACCCCTAACATAATAAAAACAAACAAAACCCCCCCCCCCCCCAAACAAAAAACAGGCAGACTCGATGGACCACTCTTCTGCGGTCACTTTTCTATGTTTCTATACATTTCTTATCCCCCCCCCCCCCCCCCCCTCCATGTTTCTGAATGGCGGCAGCAGAAGGAGACAATGGACTCTGGAGGGTGTAGAAAGAATAAAGTGTTTATTACATGGGCGCCAGTCCCACGTCCTACAAAGATAAAATCGTTATAAATTCTTCCAGCAAAAGGAATGATGTGTCAGTGCCGCGGTTCTGAATATTCACCGGATTATTGTGTCCCTTGTCTGTAATAATATCCCTGTATGTCTGCATGGAGGGAGTATCTGTGCATGGAGGGGGTATCTGTACCCCCTAGTATGCCCCAGGCAGCGCACTCCCTATCTTCATATACAACATGGTGTGCTCAGTTCAGCTCCTCGCCATCTTCTTTCCTCGTTAGTTGTCTGTAGACTGGATGCGATTTCTGGGCAGCGGCGTGGGGGGGTGGTTTCCTGGACGGATCGGCCTCGCCGGCCTCAGGCTTCACATTGGTCGCTTTGGGTGCTGGCGGGTGAGGAGGGGGCTGATTGGGCACCTTCAGGCTTCCACCGATATTCCTCCTTGGAACAGGACGCGGGTTCTGGAGTTCATCGGATGGCTCGCCGGTCGTGGGCTCCTCGGGGGTGTGTCGGCGGTGGCATGCTGGGCCGCAGAGGAGCCGGTCTCTTCACTACAACACATAGAGAAGGGTTAGAACCAGTTTCAACCAAAAAGTCACCCAGAACCTGTATTCTACAGGGGGGGGGGGGGGCGGCTCCTAAAATTGTATTGGGTCAGCAGCAGGGATTTCTTTATATATAGGTGCAGACACTCCCCACTCCTGAGTCGCCCCTTGTCTCCGCCCCTACCCACCCCCGAGCATCATCCCTTGGTTCCACCACTTACCCACCTCCCAGCACCGCCCCTTTTAGAGAATGATCAACCAGGTATCATTTTGTGGGGTGCCAAAGTAATTTGTAAAGAATTTGTTAATAATGAGAAAAGCAGTAAATATGATCTCCTGCACTCAGCAACAATAGATCCCCCGCCAGCAATAATAGACTCCCCCCACCAACAACAATAGATCCCCCCACCAGCAACATTAGACTCCCCTGCTGCATTAACTCTTCCCCAGCAGCAATAGATCTCCCCACAACAACTATAGATCCCCCACCAGCAACAATAGAGCTGCCCAGAAACACTAGACTCCCTCGGTGCATTATATCCCCCCACAACAACAATAGATCCCCCCACCAGCAACAATAGAGCTCCCAGAAACAATAGACTCCCTCGCTGCATTATATCCCATCACAACAACAATAGATCCCCCACCAGCAACAATAGAGCTCCCCAGAAACAATAGACTCCCCCGCTGCATTAGAACTCCCCCAGCAACACAATATATCCCCCACCAGCAACAAGAGAGCTCCCCAGAAACAATAGACTCCCCGCTGCATTAGAACTCCCCAGCAACAACAATATATCCCCCCCCAGCAACAATAGATCTCCCCAGAAACAATAGACTCCCCCGCTGCATTAGAACTCCCCCCAGCAACAATATATCCTCCACCAGCAACAATAGAGCTGCCCAGAAACAATAGACTCCCCCCGCTACATTAGATCTCCCCCAGCAGCAATATATACCCCCCACAACAATAGATCCCCCACCAACAACAATAGAGCTGCCCAGAAAAAAAAAAATAGACTCTCTCGCTGCATTAGATCTCTCCCAGCAGCAATAGATCCCCCACAACAACAATAGATCCCCCACAGCAACAATAGAGCTCCCCAGAAACAATAGACTCCCCCAGCAGCAATAGATCTTCCACAGCATCCAGGAACAATAGACCCCCTCCCTCAACAGTAAATCCATCCCAGCAAATATCCCCTCCACAACAACAACAATAGATCCCCCACCAGCAACAATAGAACTGCCCAGAAACAATAGACTCCCCCGCTGCATTAGGTCTCACACAGCATCCAGGAATGATAGACCCCTCCCTCAACAGTAAATCCCTCCCAGCAAAAATCCCCCCCCACAACAACAGCAACAATAGATCCTCGTTGAATTAGACTTTCCCCAGCAACAACAGATCTCCCTGCATCCAGGAACAATAGACCCTGGATCCCTTAACAGTAAATCCCTCCCAGCAACCCCCCCCCACAACAACAATAGATCCCCATCACAACAACAATAGATCCCTACCAGCAACAACAGATCCCCCACCTGCAGCAACAACAGATCCCCCACCAGCAACACAGATCCCCCACCAGCAACAGTAGAGCTGCCCAGAAACAATAGAGCTGCCCAGAAACAATAGACTCCCTCGGTGTGCATTAGGTCTCCCAGCAGCAATAGATCTCCCAGCATCCAGGAACATTATTCAATATTTTAACACCTTCTTGTGACTGGGTGTCATATGACGTCTTGTAAAAAAACGAGCCCCTCACACGGCCGCAGCGCGATCTGTTCTACGGGACACAGCCAATGATATATCACTACATCGGCCCGGCTTCTGACCAGTAATCATGTGATCGCTGTGACCAATCACAGCAGATCACACGTCAATTGTATACAATGGATGGCTTCCCGTCATGCCATCCATTGTATACAATTATGTTATTAGCTGTGACTGGTCCAGACAGTCACATGATACAGACAGAGCCAATCACAGCCCATCTGCATCATGTGATCAGCTTTGCCAATCACAGCTAATCACAACAAAAGACTGAATGGATCAGTTTCATTCAGTAACAATGATTGCAAATATCAATGAAATACATCGGTATTAGCAATAATAATGTGTTAAAAAAAAAAAATCCTGATCAGTCGCCCAGAGTAGTTCAATGGTATTGCTTTGGTCACAAAAAAAATAAAAATAGGTAAAAAAAAATAAAAAAATGTAATAAAAAAAATAAAATAGAAACATTTGAAAAAAAAGTACAATGCAATTATTATTATTTTCATGTAGCAGAATATATTTTGACCTAAATTTATGAAGAAATGTTATTTATTTGCAAACTTTTATAACAGAAACAAAGAAAAAGTGTGTTTTTTTATAACGTTTCAGGTGTTTTTGTTTTACTTAAAAATAAATAAACTCATTAAATCCCACCGAAAGAAAGCTGTATTTGTGTGTGAAAAAAATGATAAAAATGTCATCTGGGTACAGTGTTGCATGACCGCGCAATTGTCATTCAAAGTGCAACATTGCTGAAAGCGCCCAGGGGGCAGGAAGGGGGGTGGCAGCGCCCAGAGGGCAGGAAGGGGGTGACAGCGCTCAGAGGGCAGGAAGGGGGTGACAGCGCTCAGAGGGCAGGAAGGGGGTGACAGCGCCCAGAGGGCAGGAAGGGGGTGACAGCGCCCAGAGGACAGGAAGGGGTGGCAGCGCCCAGAGGGCAGGAAGGGGTGACAGCGCCCTGAGGGCAGGAAGGGGTGACAGCGCTCAGAGGGCAGGAAGGGGGTGACAGCGCCCAGAGGACAGGAAGGGGTGGCAGCGCCCAGAGGGCAGGAAGGGGTGACAGCGCCCAGAGGGCAGGAAGGGGGTGGCAGCGCCCAGAGGGCAGGAAGGGGGGTGGCAGCGCCCAGAGGGCAGGAAGGGGGGTAGGTGACAGCGCCCAGAGGGCAGGAAGGGGTGACAGCGCCCTGAGGGCAGGAAGGGGGTGACAGCGCTCAGAGGGCAGGAAGGGGGTGACAGCGCCCAGAGGACAGGAAGGGGGTGACAGCGCCCTGAGGGCAGGAAGGGGTCACAGCGCTCAGAGGGCAGGAAGGGGGTGACAGCGCCCTGAGGGCAGGAAGGGGTCACAGCGCTCAGAGGGCAGGAAGGGGGTGACAGCGCCCAGAGGACAGGAAGGGGGTGACAGCGCTCAGAGGGCAGGAAGGGGGTGGCAGCGCCCAGAGGGCAGGAAGGGGGTGGCAGCGCCCAGAGGGCAGGAAGGGGTGACAGCGCTCAGAGGGCAGGAAGGGGTGACAGCGCTCAGAGGGCAGGAAGGGGTGACAGCGCCCTGAGGGCAGGAAGGGGTGACAGCGCTCAGAGGGCAGGAAGGGGTGACAGCGCCCTGAGGGCAGGAAGGGGTGACAGCGCTCAGAGGGCAGGAAGGGGTGACAGCGCTCAGAGGGCAGGAAGGGGTGACAGCGCCCAGAGGGCAGGAAGGGGGTGACAGCGCCCAGAGGGCAGGAAGGGGGTGACAGCGCCCAGAGGGCAGGAAGGGGTGTGACAGCGCCCTGAGGGCAGGAAGGGGGTGACAGCGCTCAGAGGGCAGGAAGGGGTGACAGCGCTCAGAGGGCAGGAAGGGGTGACAGCGCCCAGAGGGCAGGAAGGGGGTGACAGCGCCCAGAGGGCAGGAAGGGGGTGACAGCGCCCAGAGGGCAGGAAAGGGGGTGACAGCGCCCAGAGGGCAGGAAGGCGTGACAGCGCCCAGAGGGCAGGAAGGGGGTGACAGCGCTCAGAGGGCAGGAAGGGGGTGACAGCGCCCAGAGGGCATGAAGGGGGTGACAGCGCTCAGGGGGCAGGAAGGCGTGACAGCGCCCAGAGGGCAGGAAGGGGGTGACAGCGCTCAGAGGGCAGGAAGGGGGTGACAGCGCCCAGAGGGCATGAAGGGGGTGACAGCGCTCAGGGGGCAGGAAGGGGGGTGACAGCACCCAGGGGGCAGGAAGGGGTGACAGCGCTCAGAGGGCAGGAAGGATTGACAGCGCTCAGAGGGCAGGAAGGGGGTGACAGCGCCCAGAGGGCAGGAAGGGGGTGACAGCGCTCAGAGGGCAGGAAGGGGGTGACAGCGCTCAGAGGGCAGGAAGGGGGGTGGCAGCGCCCAGAGGGCAGGGAGGGGTGGCAGCGCCCAGAGGGCAGGAAGGGGGGTGACAGCGCCCAGAGGGCAGGAAGGGGTGACAGCGCCCAGAGGGCAGGAAGGGGGTGGCAGCGCCCAGAGGGCAGGAAGGGGGTGACAGCGCTCAGAGGGCAGGAAGGGGGGTGGCAGCGCCCAGAGGGCAGGAAGGGGGTGGCAGCGCCCAGAGGGCAGGAAGGGGGTGACAGCGCCCAGAGGACAGGAAGGGGGTGACAGCGCTCAGAGGGCAGGAAGGGGGGTGGCAGCGCCCAGAGGGCAGGAAGGGGGTGGCAGCGCCCAGAGGGCAGGAAGGGGTGACAGCGCTCAGAGGGCAGGAAGGGGTGACAGCGCTCAGAGGGCAGGAAGGGGTGACAGCGCCCTGAGGGCAGGAAGGGGTGACAGCGCTCAGAGGGCAGGAAGGGGTGACAGCGCCCTGAGGGCAGGAAGGGGTGACAGCGCTCAGAGGGCAGGAAGGGGTGACAGCGCTCAGAGGGCAGGAAGGGGTGACAGCGCCCAGAGGGCAGGAAGGGGGTGACAGCGCCCAGAGGGCAGGAAGGGGGTGACAGCGCCCAGAGGGCAGGAAGGGGTGACAGCGCCCTGAGGGCAGGAAGGGGTGACAGCGCTCAGAGGGCAGGAAGGGGTGACAGCGCTCAGAGGGCAGGAAGGGGTGACAGCGCCCAGAGGGCAGGAAGGGGGTGACAGCGCCCAGAGGGCAGGAAGGGGGGTGACAGCGCCCAGAGGGCAGGAAAGGGGGTGACAGCGCCCAGAGGGCAGGAAGGCGTGACAGCGCCCAGAGGGCAGGAAGGGGGGGGTGACAGCGCTCAGAGGGCAGGGAAGGGGGTGACAGCGCCCAGAGGGCATGAAGGGGGTGACAGCGCTCAGGGGGCAGGAAGGGGGTGACAGCACCCAGGGGGCAGGAAGGGGTGACAGCGCTCAGAGGGCAGGAAGGATTGACAGCGCTCAGAGGGCAGGAAGGGGGTGACAGCGCCCAGAGGGCAGGAAGGGGGTGACAGCGCTCAGAGGGCAGGAAGGGGGGTGACAGCGCTCAGAGGGCAGGAAGGGGGTGGCAGCGCCCAGAGGGCAGGGAGGGGTGGCAGCGCCCAGAGGGCAGGAAGGGGGTGACAGCGCCCAGAGGGCAGGAAGGGGTGACAGCGCCCAGAGGGCAGGAAGGGGGTGGCAGCGCCCAGAGGGCAGGAAGGGGGGGGCTGGCAGCGCCCAGAGGGCAGGGAGGGGTGGCAGCGCCCAGAGGGCAGGAAGGGGGTGGTGACAGCGCCCAGAGAGCAGGAAGGGGGTGACAGCGCTCAGGGGGCAGGAAAGGGGTGACAGCGCCCAGAGGGCAGGAAGGGGGTGACAGCGCCCAGAGGGCAGGAAGGGGTGACAGCGCTCAGAGGGCAGGAAGGGGTGACAGCGCCCTGAGGGCAGGAAGGGGGTGACAGCGCCCAGAGGGCAGGAAGGGGGGGTGACAGCGCCCAGAGGGCAGGAAGGCGTGACAGCGCCCAGAGGGCAGGAAGGGGGTGACAGCGCTCAGAGGGCAGGAAGGGGGTGACAGCGCCCAGAGGGCATGAAGGGGGTGACAGCGCTCAGGGGGCAGGAAGGGGGTGACAGCACCCAGGGGGCAGGAAGGGGTGACAGCGCTCAGAGGGCAGGAAGGATTGACAGCGCTCAGAGGGCAGGAAGGGGGTGACAGCGCCCAGAGGGCAGGAAGGGGGTGACAGCGCTCAGAGGGCAGGAAGGGGGTGACAGCGCTCAGAGGGCAGGAAGGGGGTGGCAGCGACCAGTGGGCAGGGAGGGGTGGCAGCGCCCAGAGGGCAGGAAGGGGGTGACAGCGCCCAGAGGGCAGGAAGGGGGTGACAGCGCCCAGAGAGCAGGAAGGGGGTGGGCAGCGCCCAGAGGGCAGGAAGGGGGTGGCAGCGCCCAGAGGGCAGGGAGGGGTGGCAGCGCCCAGAGGGCAGGAAGGGGGTGACAGCGCTCAGGGGGCAGGAAAGGGGTGACAGCGCCCAGAGGGCAGGAAGGGGGTGACAGCGCCCAGAGGGCAGGAAGGGGGTGACAGCACCCAGGGGGCAGGAAGGGGGTGACAGCACCCAGGGGGCAGGAAGGGGGTGACAGCGCCCAGAGGGCAGGAAGGGGGTGACAACGCCAGAGGGCAGGAAGGGGGTGACAGTGCCCAGAGGGCAGGGAGGGGTGGCAGCGCCCAGAGGGCAGGAAGGGGGGGGTGACAGCGCTCAGGGGGCAGGAAGGGGGTGACAACGCCCAGAGGGCTGGAAGGGGGGTGACAACGCCCAGAGGGCAGGAAGGGGGTGACAGCGCCCAGAGGGCAGGAAGGGGGTGACAGCGCCCAGAGGGCAGGAAGGGGGTGGGGCAGCGCTCAGAGGGCAGGAAGGGGGTGACAGCGCCCAGAGGGCAGGAAGGGGGTGACAGCGCCCAGAGGGCAGGAAGGGGGTGACAGCGCGCAGGGGGCAGGAAGGGGGTGACAGCGCCCAGGGGGCAGGAAGGGGGTGACAGCGCCCAGAGGGCAGGAAGGGGGTGGCAGCGCCCAGAGGGCAGGAAGGAGGTGACAGCGCCCAGAGGGCAGGAAGGGGGTGACAGCGCCCAGAGGGCAGGAAGGGGGTGACAGCGCCCAGAGGGCAGGAAGGGGGTGACAGCGCCCAGAGGGCAGGAAGGGGGTGGCAGCGCCCAGAGGGCAGGAAGGGGGGGGTAGCAGCGCCCAGAGGGCAGGAAGGGGGTAGCAGCGCCCAGAGGGCAGGAAGGGGGTGACAGCGCCCAGAGGGCAGGAAGGGGGTGACAGCGCCCAGAGGGCAGGAAGGGGGTGACAGCGCCCGGTATTAAAGGGGCTAAACTAGGACTTATAGCGAGGGTTAGATTGGTGCTTAGGGTTCCATTGTTTTCTATATCTCAGCCCTGACTTTAAAATGGCGCCCCTTCGGTGCGATTTGGAGGTGCGGATCAGTGCGCTCTGTACTGCCGATTTCACTGCGGCTTGTGACTTCCATGTAACAGAAATCTTGGAAAAAAGTAGCAACGTGAAACGGCTCCATTGCCGGCCATACGGTGCGATTTGTCATGCGATTTGGAATTGTCACATCAGTGTGAATTGCAGCTTATGGGCCAATCTCTATTGGGGGGATTAAAAAAAAAAAATGCCAACCAATCATCTTCTCACCTTTCCTGGCTGTACTGGGGCTGGACTCCCCCAGTGTCCCCATGGCATTACTCTCGTCAGTAGGTGGCAGCGTCTTCACAGGAGCTGCCCTGCCGGCAGATGGCTCTTGGGTATCGTTAGCCTCACCGTCTCTATAGGGAAAAGCAGAGACAATGTAGTTCTATCTAGATGGGGATTAGCAGGGGACCCCGATACTGTCCATTACTTTGGTATTACAGACAGGTAGGGTACCCCAATACTGTCCATTACATCGGTATTACGGACAGGTAGGGGACCCCGATACTGTCCATTACTTCGGTATTACAGACAGGTAGGGGACCCCGATACTGTCCATTACTTCAGTATTACGGACAGGCAGGGGACCCCGATACTGTCCATTACTTCAGTATTACGGACAGGCAGGGGACCCCGATACTGTCCATTACTTCGGTATTACGGACAGGCAGGGGACCCCGATACTGTCCATTACTTCGGTATTATGGACAGGTGGGGACCCCGATACTGTCCATTACTTCTGTATTACAGACAGGTAGGGGACCCCGATACTGTCCATTACTTCTGTATTACAGACAGGTAGGGTACCCCGATACTGTCCATTACTTCGGTATTACAGACAGGCAGGGGACCCCGATTACTGTCCATTACTTCAGTATTACGGACAGGCAGGGGACCCCGATACTGTCCATTACTTCGGTATTACAGACAGGCAGGGTACCCCAATACTGTCCATTACTTCGGTATTATGGACAGGTGGGGACCCCGATACTATCCATTACTTCTGTATTACAGACAGGTAGGGGACCCCGATACTGTCCATTACTTCTGTATTACAGACAGGTAGGGTACCCCGATACTGTCCATTACTTCTGTATTACAGACAGGTAGGGGACCCCGATACTGTCCATTACTTCGGTATTACAGACAAGTAGGGGACCCCAATACTGTACATTATATGGACAGTAACGGGGTACCCTACCTGTCTGTAATACCGAAGTAATGGACAGTATCGGGGTCCCCTACCTGTCTGTAATACCGAAGTAATGGACAGTATCGGGGTACCCTGCCTGTCCATAATACCGAAGTAATGGACAGTATCGGGGTCCCCTACCTGTCCATAATACCGAAGTAATGGACAGTATCGGGGTACCCTGCTTGTCCATAATACCAAAGTAATGGACAGTATCGGGGTCCCCCTACCTGTCTGTAATACAGAAGTAATGGACAGTATCGGGGTCCCCTACCTGTCCATAATACAGAAGTAATGGACAGTATCGGGGTCCCCTACCTGTCCATAATACCGAAGTAATGGACAGTATTGGGGTACCCTGCCTGTCTGTAATACCGAAGTAATGGGACAGTATTGGGGTCCCTTTATTACCCTTTATATGGTCCTCCTTATCACCCTCCTATACCACTCCCCCTGCCCTGTATACAATTCTCTATTCCATCTCCTGTAACACCTTAATATACTGAACTCCTCCATCGCACCCCCATAACCCTTCCCCCATATACAGTATTTGCCTCTATTGTCCCCCCACTATTGGGCTTCCCTACCTGTCTGTAATATCAAAGTAATGGACAGTAACGGGGTACCCTACCTGTCTGTAATACCGAAGTAATGGACAGTATCGGGGTCCCCTACTTGTCTGTAATACATATAAAGGGTAATTTATGGGGGTGTAGGGTATAGGGGGGAGTTAGAGGCATGGAATAGAGCAGGGGTCCTTAATCTTTCCAAACCAAGGGCCGGTTTACTGAACTTCAGGCTTTAGGGGGGCCGGAACATGGCCAAAGGGAGTAAAATGTCCTCCTGGCATCAGTGGGAGTAAACAATGTCCCATCTTTGGTATTAGGGGAAATATTAGGACCCCATCATTGGTGTCAGTGGCATGAATAGTGCCCCATCATTGGTGTCAGTGGGAGGAATAGTGCCCCATCATTGGTGTCAGTGAGGAATAGTGCCCCATCATTGGTGTCAGTGGAAGGAATAGTGCCTCATCATTGGTGTCAGTGGGAGGAATAGTGCTCCATCATTGGTGTCAGTGGGAGGAATAGTGCCCCATCATTGGTGTCAGTGGGAGGAATAGTGCCCCATCATTGGTATCAGTGGAAAGATTGTGCCCCATCATTGGTGTCAGTGGGAGGAATAGTGCCCCATCATTGGTGTCAGTGGGAGGAATAGTGCCCCATCATTAGTGTCAGTGGGAGGAATAGTGCCCCATCATTGGTGTCAGTGGGAGGAATAGTGCCCCATCATTGGTGTCAGTGGGAGGAATAGTGTCCCATCATTGGTATCAGTGGGGAAGGAATAGTGCCCCATCATTGGTATCAGTGGGAGGAATAGTGCCCCATCATTGGTGTCAGTGGGAGGAATAGTGCCCCATCATTGGTGTCAGTGGGAGGAATAGTGCCCCATCATTGGTATCAGTGGGAGGAATAGTGCCCCATCATTGGTGTCAGTGGGAGGAATAGTGCCCCATCAGTGGTGTCAGTGGGAGGAATAGTGCCCCATCATTGGTATCAGTGGGAGGAATAGTGCCCCATCATTGGTATCAGTGGGAGGAATAGTGCCCCATCATTGGTATCAGTGGGAGGAATAGTGCCCCATCATTGGTATCAGTGGAAGGATTGTGCCCCATCATTGGTGTCAGTGGGAGGAATAGTGCCCCATCATTGGTGTCAGTGGGAGGAATAGTGCCCCATCATTGGTATCAATGGGAGGAATAGTGCCCCATCATTGGTGTCAGTGGGAGGAATAGTGCCCCATCACTGGTATCAATGGGAGGAATTAGTGTCCCCATCATTGGTATCAGTGGGAAGAATAGTGCCCCATCATTGGTGTCAGTGGGAGGAATAGTGCCCCATCATTGGTGTCAGTGGGAGGAATAGTGCCCCATCATTGGTGTCAGTGGAGGAATAGTGCCCCATCGTTGGTGTCAGTGGGAGGAATAGTGCCCCATGGTTGATATCAGAGGGAGGCATAGTGAACCATTGTTGGCGTCAGTGGGTGGTAAACAGTAACCAATGTCCCATCTTTGGTATTAGGGGAAATATTAGTGCCCCATCATTGGTGTCAGTGAAAGGAATAGTGCCCCATGGTTGGTAACAGAAGGAAAAATAGAGTTAGTGTCGGTGGGAGGAACAGTGTTCCATTGTTGGTGTTATAGTGAAGAAATTATTGTTGGTGTCAGTTTGAGGAAGGGTGCCTCATATCAGCATAAGAAAAAATGCCCCATGGGCCGGAAAAAGGTATGCAAAGGGCCACATTTGGCCCCCGGACTGCAGTTTAGAGACCACTGGAATACAGGGTCATATATGGGGAGAGGGTTTGGGGACGAGTGATATGAGGGATGGAAATAAGAGTAATATATAGGGTGATGGGTATAGGAAGGAGATGCCATGAGCAGGGGCGGACTGACAACTCATGGGGCCCCTGGGCAATAGGGGATCATGGGGCCCCAGTGTCATCGCCCGCACCCAAAAAAGCCTATGAAAAAGCCAATGAAAGGTACCAGGGGCATCTCATGGGGCCCCCTACTGACTCCAGCCCTTGGGCAGTGCCGGGTGCTCGAATGGTCAGCCCGCCCCTGGCCATGGGCATAATGTGGAGGTTGGTGTCAGGAAAGACCTCTTTCTTCTTCCCAGGAATCATGGCGTCTTCTATCACTCACATTTCTGTACTGACGGCTGACACCAGCGACGTTGGAGAAGTTTGGAAGGTTGGCGCTCTCAAACTTCGGGAGCGTTCCGGACATTTGTGGTGTGGACGGTGCCTGTGGGGAGGACGGACCTTCTTCTGGAACCCCAAAATCTACATCTTCAATAGAGAGAGACAGAATGCAGTCATTATAATTGCACACATAGGGGATGATTTACTAAAGGCAAGTAGACGGCGCACTTTGCAAGTGCAGTTGCTCCAGAGCTGAGTAAATGAGCAGGAGCCCTGCTGACTTCCATCATCCAATCACATGCAAGCAAAAAATGCTGTTTTGTTTTTTTTCCTTGCAGGTGATTGGGTATTCTTTGCAAAGTGAAGCGTCATTTACTCAGCTCTGGAGCAACTGCACTTGCAAAGTGCTCACTCTGCTCCTGGCTGGAGCAGAGTGAGCACTTAAATCCCCCAGAGCTCCCCCTGGTGACCTTCCCAGTACACTGAAGAGGCAGCACCCGTGTCCTTGATATCCATTTATCCTGGGCTGCATGCCAACACCATCCTAAGAGGGATTCCCGGCAGACCTCCATTTATTTATACACTGCGCAATACCTTTGCGCATCTGGTGAGTGTGCATTTTATCTGTTTCCTGCCTCTCACCGAATTTTATCGATTTATGAAACTGGGAATATTGAGCTTTTATATTCATTTATACATTTATTACGGACTGAAATTATATTTATGAGATATATGTTCTATACGCATCAGGATTATATATTTTAGCGCTGCACAAATATTTTATATATTTTCAATGTTTAATGAGAGCATCTCTGGGTAGAAGAGAACCAGAACTAAAGGTGTGGCCTGCTTGACCCATTTCAAGACAGGTGACGTCCATGTTTCATTGACACCATAATGACACAAGATGAGGAAGGAATCCGTCCGCATTACCTCCTGGGAAGACTTCTGCAGAGCAGCTTATCAAACCCTCAACCACTGACACCACCAAGATGGGAGAGGCGGAAGCCATGTCCAGTATAGATGGATCTCTAGAAAAAGAATAGAGAAATGAATGAAGAACTAGAATGTCAGCTACATCCAGGGGTGGACTGACAACTCATGGGGCCCCTGGGCAAAAGGAGATCATGGGGCCCCTGTGTCCTCGCCTACACTCAAACCACACCCAAAAAAGCCAATGAAAGGTAGCAGGGGCATCTCATGGGGCCCGCTACTGACCCCGGGCCCTCGGGCAGTGCCCGAAATGCTCGAATGGTCAGCCCGCCCCTGGCCATGGGCATAATGTGGAGGTTGGTGTCAGGAAAGACCTCTTTCTTCTTTCCAGGTATCATGCCGTCTTCTATCACTCACATTTCTGTACTGACGGGTGACACCAGTAACGCTGGAGAAGTTGGAAGGTTGGCGCTGTCAAGCTTCCGGAGCGTTCCGGACATTTGTAGTGTGGACGGTGCTGGTGGGGAGGCAGCGCCCAGGTACCCAAATGGTCAGTCTGCCCCTGTCTACGTCCCCATACAAATACTTCACATCCCTGACACCCAACTCCCTCACCCACTTCCTTCATTTCCTATCACCTCTCTTTGGATAGGTGACCAAGGGAAGATATAGGACGTATTTTACCAGCCAATATATCGGTCACATCAAAGAATTGCTGCCCAGTGCAAAGATATTTTATGTGCCGAAGAAAACAAAAGTTCCGGGAATATAAAAATTTTTAGGCTCTCTTTTTTTTCTGGTGTCATACAATACCAGCCAAGTGACCGGTCACTGGACCTCACTGAACGTGACACCATGAGATGGATGTTCATAACCTGCTGTCCTTCACTTCATACATGTGAAATATTGGATGCTGGACGTGCTCACCCGTCAGATCTGGCCCACAGGAGGTTTGGACCGAGAACGATTGCAATATTGCTGGGTGTCATCTTGTTCACTTCTTGGTGTTCTGCTAATTTGGCCAAAAACTTGATTAAGAACCTGCGATGGAAAGAGAATGATTGACACAACAGCGGTATGATGCTAGGACTGAACTCAGCCATCGATTCCGGGGAACACCAATCATTTCCAATCAGGGAGAGGCACAGTATCCATGTATCCTACATGTATCCTACACAGGTGTCACCATTAGATATGTGACATTCACAGGTAGAAGCCTCTTTGACACCTATGTGTAAGGTGGATGGATGATAAGGTCATGTATGTCAGTATATAACACAAAGGGGTAGAGTATACAGGGATGTAACACATGCAAGTAACACAGACGGGTGAGCAACACATACGTGTAACACAAATGGGTAATGTGGACAGGTGTTTGACACATACAGGTAACGTGGACAGGTGTGTGACATGTACAGGTAATGTGGACAGGTGTGTGACACGTACAGGTAATGTGGACAGGTGTGTGACACGTACAGGTAATGTGGACAGGTGTGTGACACGTAGAGGTAATGTGGAAATGTGTGTGACACATACAGGTAACGTACAAGGTACATGTACAGGTAATGCAGACAGGTGTGTGACACATATAAGGTAACACAGGTGTGTGACATAGGTAACAGTGTGCGACACATGGTGTGGAAAGGTGTGTGTGACATGTACAGGTAATGCGGACAGGTGTGGGACACATGCAGGTAATGTGGACAGGTGTGTGACATGTACAGGTAATGCGGACAGGTGTGGGACACATGCAGGTAATGTGGAAAGGTGTGTGACACGTACAGGTAATGCAGACAGGTGTGTGACACATATAGGTAACGTGGACAGGTGTGTGACATGTACATAATGCGGACAGGTGTGCGACACATGCAGGTAATGTGGAAAGGTGTGTGACACACAGGTAATGCGGACAGGTGTGGGACACATGCAGGTAATGTGGACAGGTGTGTGACACATACAGGTAATGCGGGACAGGTGTGGGACACATGCAGGTAATGTGGACAGGTGTGTGACACGTACAGGTAATGCAGACAGGTGTGTGACACATATAGGTAACGTGGACAGGTGTGTGACACATGCAGGTAATGTGGACAGGTGTGTGACACGTACAGGTAATGCGGACAGGTGTGTGACACATATAGGTAACGTGGACAGGTGTGTGACACATGCAGGTAATGTGGACAGGTGTGTGACACATGCAGGTAATGTGGACAGGTGTGTGACACATGCAGGTAATGTGGACAGGTGTGTGATACATACAGGTAACGTGGACAGGTGTGTGACACATACAGGTAATGTGGACAGGTGTGTGATACGTACAGGTAATGTGGACAGGTGTGTGACACGTACAGGTAATGTGGACAGGTGTGTGATACATACAAGTGATGTGGACAGGTGTGTGACACATACAAGGTGATGTGGACAGGTGTGTGACACATACAAGTAATGTGGACAGGTGTGTGACACGTACAGGTAATGTGGACAGGTGTGTGACACGTACAGGTAATGTGGACAGGTGTGTGACACGTACAAAGGTAATGTGGACAGGTGTGTGACACATGCAGGTAATGTGGACAGGTGTGTGACACGTACAGGTAATGCGGACAGGTGTGTGACACGTACAGGTAATGTGGACAGGTGTGTGACACGTACAGGTAATGCGGACAGGTGTGTGACACATGCAGGTAATGCGGACAGGTGTGTGACACGTACAGGTAATGCGGACAGGTGTGTGACACATGCAGATAATGTGGACAGGTGTGTGACACGTACAGGTAACATGGACAGGTGTGTGACACATAGAGGGAATGTGGTCAGAGTTTCCCTGGAATTCCTGCCAGGTACTAATGGTAACAATGGAAAATCTGAGCTTTGTGTGTAATTCTGGAGTTAGAAGACTTCCCTTCTTTTCCCATGGTCAGGTTAAAGTTCCCCTCCGCAAACCTCATCCTAATGTTGCACAGATTCGATGATGGCGGGCGCGTCTACCTGAGGTTGTTGTAGTTTTCAGGTGGCAGCTTGGCACACACCTCTCTAAAAACCCTCCTGGCGTTTTTCTGGCTCTTTAATGCTGAAAAATAAAAACAGAAATGGCATGACAAGGTGACCTTGGCCAAAACGTGTCCCAACCAAGCTCCGTGGTCACTTTTACCTCGCCGCTTTCATCCAGTCGTCAAAGAGTTCAGAGGTCATGAGTGGTTCTGGAAGTTCCCGGAGATAAGACTTGAGGGCACCTAGAAGATACTTAATATGGTCATCCTGGATGGAGTATGGAAGAGACTTCTACAAGTGAAGGCCCCATTTATGAAGAAGAACTAGACAGAGGTGGGGGAGCAGTCAAAGTCACGTACCGGCCACAGCATGCGGTTCGGACGTAAATTCCGCCAGGTCCCTGGCACCGGCACCCAGACTGGCCTTCAGCTTTTTCAGAACTGATGCACCTGCAGCCAACCGAAATAGACCCTGAAATAGAAGCACCAGTTACTGACCAGACCACAAAAAAAAACCCACCAATACCAATCACTAACACTGTTTTCTGTAGCAGACAATATGGAGGGTGAGGGGATGGGTGGGACCGTTTAGACCTAATAACGTAAGGACATGCCTTCAGTTAGGAGAAAGAGGCCTGGATTTGTTGCAAGGTTACATAGGCCCCAACAGAAGGCGGCTGACTTTCAGGTGGCAGATACCTGTCCCATTATTCCTTACATAAATGAAAGCTCCCATATGGAAGAAAAATATATTTGAAATATATTTAAAAATATTCTTCCCAAATATATTGCCATATATTTGAAATGCTACAATTTTGGCCGTATTCAATATATTTCAATAAATAAATATATATACACTGCATTTCAACATGCAGTATATATATATATATATATATTTATTTCAGGTACTTATATAGCGTTGTCAATTTACGCCGCGCTTTACATATATATTGTACATTCACATCAGTCCCTAACCCTCAAGGGGCGTACAATCTAAGGTCCCTAACCCTCAAGGGGTGTACAATCTTAGGTCCCTAACCCTCAAGGGGCGTACAATCTAAGGGCCCTAACCCTCAAGGGGCGTACAATCTAAGGTCCCTAACCCTCAAGGGGTGTACAATCTAAGGTCCCTAACCCTCAAGGGGGGTACAATCTAAGGTCCCTAACCCTCAAGGGGTGTACAATCTAAGGTCCCTAACCCTCAAGGGGCGTACAATCTAAGGTCCCTAACCCTCAAGGGGCGTACAATCTAAGGTCCCTAACCCTCAAGGGGCGTACAGTCTAAGGTCCCTAACCCTCAAGGGGCGTACAATCTAAGGTCCCTAACCCTCAAGGGGTGTACAATCTAAGGTCCCTAACCCTCAAGGGGCGTACAATCTAAGGTCCCTAATCCTCAAGGGGTGTACAATCTAAGGTCCCTAACCCTCAAGGGGCGTACAATCTAAGGTCCCTAACCCTCAAGGGGCGTACGATCTAAGGTCCCTAACCCTCAAGGGGCGTACAATCTAAGGTCCCTAACTCAAATTCATACATACACATACTAGGGCCAATTTAGACTGGAGCCAATTCACCTACCAGCATCTCTTTGGAGTGTGGGAGAAAACCAGAGTACCCGGAGGAAACCCACGCAGGCACAGGGAGAACATGCAAACTCCAGGCAGGTGGTGCCATGGCTGGGATTCGAACCGACGCCCCTAGTACTGCCAGGCGGAAGTGCTAACCATTTAGCCACTGTGCTATATATATATATACATACATATATACACTGCATGTTGAAATGCGTTTTTATTACATATATATGAAAAATATTTTTAAAAAAATACATTTCAAATATACTGTATGTCTTTAAAAATACATATCTACATTTTTGGTCTGCATTTACAAATATATGTAAAAATATATGATAAAATTACTTTTTATGTTAAAAAAAATCTAAAGAATATATTGAAAAAAAAAATATTTTTATAAATATTTTTCATATATTTTATAATATATAAAAAATACATTTCAACATACAGTATATATATATATATATACACTGTATGTTGAAATGCATTTTTTATATATTACATAATATATGAAAAATATTTTTAAAAATGCATTTCAAATACACTGTATGTCTTTAAAAATACAAATCTACATTTTTGGACTGAATTTACAAATATATGTAAAAATATATGTTAAAATGAATTTTTTTATGTTAAAAAAATCTAAAGAATATATTGGAAAAAATATATATTTTTATAAATATTTTTCAGATATTTTGTACTATATAAAAAATGCATTTCAACATACGGTATATAGATATATATATATATATATATATACACACACACACATATATATATACGTACACAAAAAAATATATAAATACATACATATACATCATATACCGTATTTTTCGCACCATAAGACGCACTTTTTTTCCCCCAAAAAAGGGGGGAAAATGTCAGTGCGTCTTATGGAGCGAATATGGAGCGGCCGGTCCGGTATTTCCACTGCCGCCGTGTCAGAATACCGGGCCGGCCGCTCAGCTCTACAGCGGGACCTTATAGAGATGACTGCTGACCTTTGGGGAGGGGGGGGAGCGGGTACCTGAATTTGACAGATACCCGCTCCCACTTCCGTGGAGTTGTTCTTTCATCTTACCTGTTCCTCTATCCAGCGGCGCGGTCTTCCCGGCTTCTGTAGTGTGGGCATGACAGCCGGGTGCCAAGTGCGCATGCGCAGGAAGCGGTGCTTTTTGTGAATGGTAAGGCGGCACCTGGGACACATGACAGATCCCAGAAGCCGCCGGACCAATCACAAAAGCGCAAGTGCTTCTCGCTCATGCGCACTGGGCACCCGGCTGTCATGCCGAGCGCCATTACAGAAGCCGGGAAGACAGCGCGCGGCTGGATAGAGGAAACAGGTAAGATGAAAGAACAACTCCACGGAAGTGGGAGGGTACCTGTCAAATTCAGGTACCCGCTCCCCCCCCTCCCCAAAGGTCAGCAGTCATCCCCTGTACTATCCACAGTCTCTGGTCATCCCTGTGCTGTCCACAGTCTCTGGTCATCCCTGTACTGTGTCATCTCTGGTATCCCTGTACTGTGTCCGCAGTCTCTGGTCAT